GAACAGGAGATTTAGTTTCCACATCCAGGGGCTTCTTCCATTTTTAGCTCATGGTACCTGTTTTGTCTTTAACTGGACAATAGCTGATGAAAATTTTTCTCTTCATGTTATAGTTTCTGAGACATTTTGCATCTCTATGATTTGCAATGTCAATTGTGATTTTATTAAACTCATCCTAATATTCAAATGCAATTCCTGCATCTTAAGAGAATGTTATTATGCATTTTATATGAGCTATAAATTTAATAATCTTCTTGCCATGCAACATAGAATACTATATTTCCCAGGATAAGAAACATGGATTTCTTTTGTTCTGCTTGATAAAAGGTATCTTTAGAAATGCAATCTATTTTTGGACAGAATTCTATAGTATTAACTAATTTGTTGTTTTTGTATAGGTTCAGAAGCCCAAAAGTGCCAACATAACTTGGATTTTGTGATCTTCACTTGAGTTTTTTGAGGATGTCAGTTTTAATTAATGTGGGAAGATGCACTTAGACCATTGTTCGTATAAGAGAGTGTGTGTGTGTGTGTGTGTGTGTGTGTGTGTATCACTCTCTCTAAGTAATATGAGGCTGTAACTCTTTCTAGTGCTCTTTTATTTTCATATTCCATAACACAAAAAATAAACGACAGAAATTCAGGTGCAAAATAGCTTTATATTATTTGAGATTTTTCACTTTGTGAATATTTAATTCTTTCGTAGAATTTCACACATTCGTACTGTATTTACATCACTTCCATTTCTTCCTCCAACCTCTGCAAAGATTTATGTCCTTTCCACATACCCTTTCAGCTTCATGACCATTTTTTCTGTATTTATTATCGTTTCATAATTAATGAATATAACCCACTGATTATATTTAGTGTTACTTGTATGTGTATGTGTTTAAGACTGAACTTTTGGGAAATAATTACTATCAGGAGGCTTGTCACTGAAGAAAACTTGTTCTCCTTCTCTCAGTAATTATTGTCTGACTAGTTTTTCATCTCTAGGGGTGGTGTCTTTTGAAATTTCTTCATCCATGTTGACATCACAACTGGTATTCTCATTATACAGGGCTGTTTATGTCTTATATAGGTCCTATATTTGAAGTTAAATCGATATAGCATTGCTGTCATATCTAGAAAACAAAGTCATGAAATAGGCATGTCTATTCTTTAACTCGCAAATATAAAATTTCAGATAACAATTATATCAAAAATGAAAATAAAGTTGGGTTTCAGATTGTATTTACATTTATTTAAATATGTCCATTTGCGTGATTATCAGTATGGACACTGTATGCATGTAGTGGCTGTTGAAGCTAGAATAGGGAGGTAAATGTCATTGAACTGAAGTTGCAGTTGACTAATGGGGCTGGGAACTAAAACCAGGTTCTCTGTTGCAATGATGAGAATTTGAAGTTCTCGCAACCGCTGAACTATCTCTGCATCTATCAGTAAATTATACTCTTAAGTAATGATCCAGTATGGTTCATGAGAATGTGAGTGTTATAAAATAATAACAATTACATCCATATAAATTTAATGCAACTGCATATACTCACACCTTTTGTTTATTTCTTGATGATCGTAGGCATGTAAAAACAATAAATATGATATGGATGTGGAGCTTAACTCCATGATTGTCTGAGTTAATTAATGTGCAGTCCAATATATTGCATACCAAGAAAACAAAAGAAGTGGGGAGTGTTTTCATACCCATAGTTCATGAACTAATGATGGATTTCCAAACATTTTTCATTTTATGTGGCTAATATAAGCTGTTAACATTGGTTTTTTAAAGTTCCATATTAAACATTACTTAAAATTGAACTCAATACACAAAGTTGCTTTTGACTTGTGTAATTTCCAGGGCATGCATTATTAAATACTCATCACGGATAGTATTTGTTAAATACAGTGTCACTTGTCTATGTACTTACTTTTAAAAAAAATCTGTCTAAATGGAGCAAAATCTCATAATCATTAGGTTTCAACTACAGAAAGGTTGGAAAAGAACAAAATTGGTTTCTCTCAGTCAGATAATAACATTTAGGAAAATTTTGTAATACAGAAATATGAAAAATATGAGACATGAGAGATTTAGGTAATTATAATTAGTAATTGCCTTCAGGCTAACATTTATCCTACAGGTGAAAGTAATTTTATTGATGTTGTTAATAAAACTGTCCACCATCTTTAAGGAGACTATTATTACATAAATGAATTTGGCATTATGATTCAGTTTCTTCATGTAATGAGAATGAGACTTAAGACTAACATCCCTAAATTAAATAATTAATTACATACAGCTTCAATTACAATTACTAATTGATACAAAGTTACCAGCTTAACTCCTGCAGGTAATCAATTTTATAACTGGGATCTTGAATAAGTGCTTAGATCATTTTGGCCAGTAGTTCATATACAATAGCTCATTGTCCTGCTAAACACCTTGTGAAAATGGTTCTACTCCAATATTCTATAGGTGAAGTTTCCTCATAATGTATCTGTTGATAGTTTGTCTTTGATTATGATTCTTTGATAGCTAACTCTACTAAAAGACACAAATGTTATCTATCACTTTAGTTATTCTACAATCCTTTTTTCTATTTTTGCATGATTGTAAGGTAAAGGATGTAATTGGAACTGTTGTCTTTATTTTTAGGTTTCTTTAATGCTCTCAGTAACAGTTGAGTGGAATCTCACGTGTTATATAGGTTACTGTGAAAGAAGAATTTTTGGTTATTCCAATATTTCAAATATAATATGATAGATAATTAAATACGAGGAGCAAATTGGATTCTTGGAACTTCAGAACATGGAAATATCTGTGAGAATATTTATTCAAATAAAGTTGTTGATCTCAGAGAATTTAATTTGTAGTTATGTTCTGAAAACAGAATTTCAATAACAAATATGTTTTTAAAGCTACAAGGAACTTGTGGTCACAATTACCTTTAAAAAATGTAGATAAAACCGATCTACTTGTACTAGCTATGGGCTTTTGCTTTCCCTAAAAAGCCAAAGTTATATCAGGCAGAGACAAGATAACACTGCAAACTTGTATAATGATCAACATTGTGAAACAAAAATATGTAGATATTTATTAAACTTTTTCCCGTGTGTCCTTATAAAACACTCTCACCAGTTCAACTGTTTCTTCTTTAAACAACTGTAAGGCAAACATGAACTAACTGGGGTTGAGAAAAATATTCATAAAATTGATTGAGAAAAACAGCTTTGGCCTTCAACTGAGAAACTGGAAGTGTGTGTGTAAATCTGACTAACTTAGGTGATGAGAGATGAGAACGGGATGTCAACTGTGGCAGTTGCTGCCAGAGATTCTCTACAGCCACACATGCGTGACACATTTGGTTGGAATAACTGAAACAATCCCATGCAGAAAACTAATTTTAAAAGCATTACAAGTATAAATAAACATACGGATAAAAGTCATTTTATCATGAATCTGATTCTTAAATTTAGAAGCCACAAAAACAAAATTAAATTTATTGTGCTGGATATGGTTCCAAAGGAGAAAGTTAAACACCAACCTAGCCACAAAACACTTCAATCTACAAGTGGCCTACTTACAAGATACATTGTTGCAAAGAACCTATGTTAAAATATTTATTTTATATTTCTATAAAATAAAAACAGTGGATACTGATGCTTGGCTAAAAAACAATGGAGAATGAATGAGCTGGGCGGTGGTGGTGCATGCCTTTAATCCCAGTACTCAGGAGGCAGAGGCAGGTGGATCTCTGTAAACTTTGTGAGTTCATGGCCTGGTCTATGAGAGCTAGTTCCAGGACGGGTTCTCAAAGCTACAGAGAGACTCTGTCCTGAAGAAAGAAAGAAAGAAAGAAAGAAAGAAAGAAAGAAAGAAAGAAAGAAAGAAAGAAAGAAAGAAAGAAGGAAGGAAGGAAGGAAGGAAGGAAGGAAGGAAGGAAGGAAGGAAGGAAGGAAGGAAACCCGTCTTTAAAAAACAAATTAAATAAATAAACGAACGAATAAATAAATAAACGAACAAATAAATAAATAAATAAATAAATAAACAAATAAATAAATAATAAATGCGGCAGTAGACCCACAGTCAGACAGTATGCAGAGGGTTGAGACTTGGGACACAGCTTTAAAAGAGATTTGTTCATCAAATTCATAATTCCAGGCTAAAAAGAAGACAGTATTTAAATCCATTTCATCTGTTCACGATCTCCACCTCAATACCTTCACTGTAAGTCAATGTGCTCAAATATATTTACTCCAGGTCTTTGAGGTTGGATGAAACCAGGAGATGGTGCTTTTAGTACTGTAAAGTTTCATCTAGCATATATTGAATTGTTTGACTTGATTGTAGAATTTCACAAACATCCTTAACTGGCCACCGTAGACAAAGGAATACCATAAGAGTGGAGAAAGAACAGCACAAAACCAAAGATGGCTTCCAGGTCAATGACCATACAGGAGTTTTAGGAATGATCATGAAGTTTGTGGCAAGTAAAAATGAATAAATCATAGCCTTTAAAAATAAATGGATTTTCAAGCATGCATAATTTTTATTTATAGGCAGTTTTGCTTGAGAAACTAAGTAGAATTAGATGCTTATACTGGCCAAATTGTTACCCGCCCCCCTTGGATGTAGTGTGTTGAAAATGTATAGCCTAAAATAGAAAAATATTTGCCCTCTGCAATTGAAATGTTAGAACCTTACATAAGCAGAGGTGGAAGGATGCTGAATATATGTTAGCTGACGAAGGCAAAGATAGAGGCGTGTTTACTGAATAAATGATGCAGCACAGCAGCTTCTCACCCCTGGACACGTGGGAGGGACCACCTCCCGGGCCCTGCGATTCATGTGGGTTTGTCAGGATGGTTCTTCCCAATGCAGTCAGTAGTGTGGCTATTTGTGAATGGTGGAACTTAATTGATAGGTATGAGTTAAATTAAATTCATCGTGCTTCCTTAAATATTTTTTTTTAAATAAAATTTTCTATGTTTCCTTCCCTAAGGAAAAGAGCCACCTGGGACCCCAGCTGCTCTAAACTTCTGAGGCCACTGAGTAACACCAATGAGCATCAGCTTTCTTTTCAGCAATGGGCATGCAGTCTTCAGGAAACTGAAATATGGATTGATACTTCTACCAGCCTTCCCAGGCTGCAACAAGGTGGAGACGACTTACAGATGTAAGCATGTATTGAAGACCATTCGAGAATCCAACTGTAAAAAAAAATGAAAATTAGCAAACTAAGATTGAAGCCCAGTGAATGCTAGTAATTACATAGATAAAATAATTAGTGGAGACATTAGAATATTATACATCAACTCAATTTTGATTGCTACTCCTGTATATTTTAGTAATCCGCAATTTTTATAAAATGCAAACATCACACAACTTGCTTGCTGACATATGATCAATTAATAAATTGCTTCTTGCATACATAAATCGAATTAAATAGCAATTACCAAACACCTCTTTCCAGTACCTCTGTCTGCATTTAGCTACAATGGCCACTGGATGGCAGTATTATGTTGTGCCAGTTCATTAATTTCAATTTTCTAATTCCCTTTGCATACTTCAGAATGTAGAAACTGGCCTTTATAAAGAAAAACTTCAAGCAAAAATAAAAGTTATATCATCTTAGAAAGCATTTATGTTTAGTCAATCCACCATGTAAGTCCATTTTTAGCCTGCCAAAATATGTTGCCTAGCTCTGAAGCAGAATTATGTAGGCTTCTCTTTGTTTAATATAAGCCTATTCATCTTTTGCACAATACAGTTGGAGTCCACGGAATAATTACACAGTTGTCTATGTTTCTTGCTATTGCCTTTTGTTATTACTTTGCTAAGATAATTGCGAAATTGTTAAATTAGGTTCTGTATATAAATCAAGGTGTTTGAAAATTATTGAATATAATAATGCTGAACTTAAAACATATATTTTACATTGTCATAAAAATATTACAGATGTTTGCTAATGTATTGAAATGAGAGTTTTAAAATGCAATTTTAATAGTTTTTAATATATGATCAAATTTAATTGATTTCTATCTGGAAATCAATAGCAAAATAGTGAAATATGAAATTTAATATTCTATTCAGTAAAATAAGTTAATTTGGGATTTTAGGTACCAGTAATAGTGCACTGAGACATTTGCACTATAGTGAAGACGTTTAGTCTTCATGGTGTTATCAATGACCAATTTTCTCCAAGTGATATTAAGCCTAACCAGGTGGAATGCCTCTTCACTAACAATACCCTGGAGGCAGAGGCAAAAGAAACAGAAAGTCTGGGGCCAGCTTGTGCACAAAAGTTAGACATTGTATCAGAATTCAAAAATAGGAGAAAAGAGATATGAGAAGAAAAGAACAAAGATGGGAACAGGAGTGAAGAGAAAAAAGGAAAAAGGAAAGTACCACCACCACCAACGGATTGGACAAGACTACCATAAACCTGTATTGTTTTCAAATGAAAGTCTAAGGATGCATCTAGTTGCCTAGTCCATTGGAGAGATAACTATGGATTTCACCCAGGCCATGATTTCCCTACAGAATGTTTTGCTCCAACATGTGAGGTTACTTGTCTTGTTTTGGAAACAGAATGTTTAACTAAGAATGTAGCCAGTAATACTTCAACTGCTCTGTTCATTCCTTGTGTCATGTGAATGTAGTTTTTCTTTTGTTTTTAAATTTTACCCCTATCTTTTGGTGTCAGGGTATTGGAGCAAATGGAGAAATTAAGCATGGGCAAACTTTCAGTATACAATGGAACTCCCTCCTAATGCTATCCTATGCTTCTGTTTATTATTTTCACTCGTGTTTCATTCTCTTCCACTTGTTCTTCTAATTCCTAAGCACCTAACCTGGTAAGAGGTAGCCTTGCCAAAGCTGGTCTCCGACATGTGCACAAGAGCCCAGTGTGTATGGTGAGCTCACATAATTAACACTCAATCACAGAAGAATATATCACTTCCTGTTTCATGGGCACTAATAATTTCCAGGAACAAAGTTTTTTTTTTTTTTTTATCTAATTACTCTGCCTTGGCTGGATCTCTAAATGCTTACAATCTTCAGGAGCTCAACCTTCATGGGAACCAAGGATCTGCAAAAGAGGATCCTGTGATTAACAACACAGGACTTATGTTTTCAAGAATTTATGGTGTGTGCAGGATGTAATTGGTTTCACGTAAGATATTTCAGAGAAAATTATGCTTTCCAGTTCCCTGAAACACTAACTTTAAATTATTTTATGTATATATCTCCTTTTCATAAATATTCATACAACTTTTTATTGGCTAAAGATATGTATTGCAAGGAATTAGCATACATATTAATGTATGAATCTATTATATATAATTATAATTGTTAAAATATTAAAATATTAATTCCAAGTTTCCACATGATTTTAAACAAAGCATTATACCTATTAATTATTACATTTCAAACTATACTTATTTATTTTACATGTTTGTGTGAAGGACCATGCATGCCACAATAAACATTGTTAAAATCTCCTCCCTACTTGCAGCATATGGTTCTTGGGGAATGAACTAAAATAATTAGGCTAGGATCAAATGCCATTACCTGTTGAGTCATTTCAATTGTCCCCACTTTAAGTTTTAAAGTTTGAACAGTCATTCAGAAATTTAATTTAGAGTATATCCATGAGGAAATTATGATACTATTCATAAGATCTTCAATATTTTAAGTGTGAAGAAAAAATAGTTATGGTGATTTGAAAAATCATTAACATTTATCTTGTGAAAGTGTTAAAATTATTCATACTGCTTTCTGTGGCCAGGTTCGTGCAGTCTATAAGAAGATGCATCATGCGGGAAATGAATGCAAACACATTCTGTGTGCAGACATCCATAAACCCTGGGTGAGTAGACTGTGGATTAAATTTCTATACTGTATCTACTGAAATAAGAAGAAATTACATTTTAAATAAGGTATGATTAAATCAAATTTTATATATTTCAAATTAATTGAGGTTATTATTCTACATTTTTATTTGGTTTATCAAATAACATCAACTAAGAAAATAATTTGCTTTTGATCTTGTTTTGTATAATTGTCTCCATCACTTCCCAGTATAATTATTTAGCAGCAACTGAAAATTTTTCTAATGAAAAAATATTGTCTTTAATATGCACCAGACATAACTCTGTTTGTATACCCAGATCATATAAATTAATTTCTTGCTTAAATTTCATAGTCAAAACTTTTCTTCTGTTATTTTTAAACTTTGTAAATCAAATTATTAAGGTGACCAAATATCATTGAAAGTAGAACAAAAATAACTTAGTTACATAAACTTTTTTTCCCAACTTTTGAACTGCTTTGTATATTTATCTCAAGAACAATATTTGTTTATATAAACATGTAAAATGATATTAGAGATTGTTAATGACCTTTTCTGCCTTTACATTTCCATGTTTTCTTAGGCGATAAAAAGAAATAGATGCTATTTAGTGGCAAAATGAACTGATTCTTCAGAAACTTTCTCAGTTCCTAAACTTAACCACTGGCTTGAGAATCAACAGCAACTACAGGATACTCCCTGATGGATTTAAGAAAATAGGAAATTTTCCTTTCTCAAGCTGAAAAATTTAACATAAATCACTCCATATACATAATGAAGACTATGTATACTATCTTTGAAAGGAGATGTCCACCAATTTAGGTTCACTCTCTGTAGAAACTAACACAGGGTCTAGCTAATATACTTGCAAAATAATGCTTTTTTCAAACATCAAAATGGATAAACAGGTATATACATAGAAGAGTAGACAGACTTGGAAAAATCTGTTGTGTTCATTCACTTTCTCTGCAAAAGGAGTATAACGTCATAAGTGGCTACTCTACATTTTTATGAAAGTCATAAAATATGGAAATAGCTTTATTTCTTTAAATTCAATTTATTGAAGTCCTTTCATTTTTCTTTAACAAATGCCAGTTTGTGTGTAAGAGCAGACGATATTATTCTGACTTCAAATATTTGATGTGGGATTCCCCTCTGTATGCTGTGAATAGCATTGGTTAATAAAGGACTGCTTTGAGCCCATAGCAGAGCAGGGCAGAGAGAGCTGGGGGACAGGGGGACTAAAGTGAAGACTGGGAGAAAGAAGGGCAGAGTCAGAGAGACTTCATGAAGCCCTGCTGGAGAGCTGGAGACAGACCCTAGAACTTTGGTCTGTAAGCCACAGCCATGTGGCACTACACAGATTAATAAAAATAGGTTAAATTAATATGTAAGAGATAGCCAATAAGAAGCTAAAGCTAATGGGCCAAGCAGTGATTTAATTAATACAGTTTTTGTGTGATTATTTCGGGGCTAAGCAGCCAGGAACAAGCCAGTGGCTTTTATACTACAAATATTAACTTGCATGTGAGAATTGTAGTGTTAAGTAGATTAAAAGGATGCTTATGTTAGGCATATTTGAGCCTTGTAATATTAGCATGAGGAGGTGAGGGCAAAAGGATCAGGATCTCAGTTATTCTTGCCTATACATGATATTTTAGTACAGCCTGAGCTACCTCAAAAATTGTTCAAAATTTAAACATTTATCATTTTAGGACATTTCACTTGGTCCACAAAATAAAAGAATCTATTAGTCACTTGCATATATCTAATGATACTCAAATTTAAGTAAATGTTATCTCTACCTTCAGATAACCAAGGGAGCATTAGTAAGATAAATGAATGTCAGAGGGCAAGGGAATAGAAAAGGAGGCAAGTTTTAAGTTAAGTTGAAAACCATTTTATTGAACGTGGCAATCAGCACTTTTAGAGCATCTTATTCAGCACATATCCCTGGGCAGATCCCCTGCAGTCTGAAATAAAATGCAATCTTTATAATTCATATTCATAAAAGAATATGCTCTATTTTAAAAACTAGGAGTACCCTATTTCTCTTTCTTTTCTTTCCTTCTTCTTCTTTCATATACCCTATCCTTTCAATATGATTTCTGTGTGTAGCCCTGGCTAACCTGAAACTCACAAAGATCTTCTACCTCTGCTTCCTGGGTTCTGGGAATTAAAGTTTGATGCCACTAGACTTAACATGCGTAATTATGTAGTGATTATTCAAATCCAAATAGATGGTTCAGTGTTCCCCAGACTGACCCAACTTCAAACAACAACTACAGCTTAAATGGGAACACTCTCTGCAGAAAAGTAGTAAAAAATAGGGGTGTCTTACAAACTATGTTCGAGTCCATATCTTACCTAAAGAGATTTCATTATACTAGATGTTACACTATAGATAAAAACTTCAAAGTAGATTCTAATTAACAGACGTGAGTCAAAACCATTAAATATTCAAGCAGACCACCACTGTGTGGGGAGTCCGTGGTGAGTAAACTCTACTGAGTATGGACATATATTGCTTTCAGAAGGAAATGCTTTCCTTTCTTAAGGATGTTAGAATCTTCCTGTCTAGAATATTTTTTCCAAACAATAAAGTAGCAGAAATTAGTGAAGAATTTGCAAAATATGTTTTAAAATCATTCATAAGATGTAGAAATTCACTTATGCAATAGACTTTATCATTGCAAAGTGTCTTCTATATGGTAGTGTGCCTATGCCTTACATCATGTATATATAGCTACACATATAAGACATTAATTTACAACAACATTTCTCATTGTAGAGATTATTTACATTACTTATTTTGAAGCTTGAAGTCAGAATCATGGAAAGAGAAAAAAAATGAAAGAGGAAGAGAGACAACCAGAGTGAGAAAGGAAGCAAGAATGACCAGGAAGCAGGCTACAGTGGTTTCCGACAGGGTCATATCTAGGGCTCCAGGCTGTAAAATCAGCAGCCTCAGCATTGATTTTCTTAGCTTCCTGACCTTGAGCCTTGTGAAACTAGAATTAGTCAATCAGAAACTGTGGAGTTCTGACTTTAGAAGAGAAGATGTTTTCTCGCTCTACTTTTATACTTTTTATATTTATGCCTAGATAGGTGATGGAGTAGGCTGTGTAAGAGTAGAGAATGACAGCTAGGAACTTAAGCCAAGATTACAGTCATGTAGCATATGAACAATGTGATAAAACATTCACTCTGGGCTTAATGTTTCAGAGAGTTAGAACTCAGTTTTAGAACGATGTAACAGCTTAGCATTTACATATTAATCAGCAACCACCTGGGGGGGGAGAGAGAGAGAGAGAGAGAGAGAGAGAGAGAGAGAGAGAGAGAGAGAGAGAGAGAGCCTTAGAATTTCTGAATTTCTCAAAGTTGCCCCTATGAAACACCTAATCCAACAAGGCCATACTTCTTAAACCTTCCTAAACAGCACCACTAACTATAAACCAGGTATTCAAATATATAAGCCTTTGTTATATTCTCTTAAAGATGAAATGAAGTATCTAGGGCACACAAAGAAATGTATAATCATACTACTATTATGTGCCTTATTTCTTGTGAACCTTTGTTCGATTCATTGTGTGTTCTTTGTGTGTTCACTTAAATGGACTTGTTTTTACAATTACCTGCTTTTTCTGGCTTAGAATCAATTCCATCTCCTTCAACCCACACACTAAATCAGTCAGTCTTTACGAATCATTTGGGCTGAAAGATTCTTTTGATGTACCTGTAAAAACATCTTTTCTAAATTTTCCTTACTTCTTTAACACAAGAACACTGTGCTGAAATCTTTTTTCTTTGTCTCCTACCTGGTACTTCTTTATGCCATAGTATTTTGTGAAGCATAGTACTTTCTAGTTTCTCTTTACTACATATATAAGCAGATGATTAAATTATTTTTATTGATATTAAAACTGAAATTTCAACTTAGGTTTATACCTCCTTCATTAACCATGAATGTGGAAGGATTTCCTATTGTAATATCTGTCTGTAGACTTTGCATGACTCCTCTGAAGTTTAATCTGGCTAACAATATCTTTCTTCTTAACTTTCTGTTTATTATTAAAAAAGCTATGTTGCTTTGTACTGAGTTATTCAAAAGGTAGGGTGAATATGGGTTTCAAAGCAGAGCAGGGAAGATAGTTTGAAATACTAAGCTTGGACACAGTGGGTTACCGCTTAGATTCAGAAAACTCACAGAGATCTTGTTTCCCAACCTCTTATGAAAAAAGTATAGGAAGAAACAAAAGGAATTTTAGGGATGAATCTCCAGTCAACATTACTACTTGTAATTTTAGGTTTTTTTTTAAATATTTATTTATTTATTTATTATGTATATAATATTCAATCTGTGTGTATGCCTGCAGGCCAGAAGAGGGCACCAGACCCCATTACAGATGCTTGTGAGCCACCATGTGGTTGCTGGGAATTGAACTNCTGAGCCATCTCTCCAGCCCTGTAATTTTAATTTTTATTTAAAATCATGCACATTATAATAAAACCCAAACTACTTTGGTGCATAGTATGTCAAATAATTTAATTCACTAGTAACTTACCTTGTTAATTTACTAATTTATCAGTTATAAGAATACTGGAATATCCTTGTTCATATTATGAAGTCTTTGAAAGCTGAAAGCAGGCATCCTGCTTTCTCTGTATTCAGTAACATTAATTCTGATTCAATGTGTGCTATAATAAACAAATGCAAGGTAGAAAATTTTCATACTAAGTATTAATTAATTTGATTAATAAGTTAAAGAGTAAATATTTCAGTTTTGTACTCAAAGCCTTTATTTGGAAGCAAAATTAACTTGAATGACTATACTGGAAACATATTTGGATCATCAAGAATGCCAAAGGCCTATTCATCATTTAGTATAGAGCTTTATGGAAAACAGAGGGAATAAAAGGTCTTTTCTGACACATGTCTGATCAGAAGTGAACATTTTTTTTTAACTTTTGAAATCAGAATTTAAGGATACATATACACACTTGAAAATTGCATGTAA